ACCTCCCTTCTTTCCAAGAAGCTTGCTTGATGTGGGGAAAGATAAGCTGTCACTTTTCCTTTACTCCTAATTACTTCATTTCCTGATAGGCTTGAATTTGAAGATACATTCACATATGTATAGATAGGTAGACACATTTATACATAAATATCTATAGATATAGCTAACTAGCTACACATGTAGATAGATATATACACACAGCATACACACATACATGCACACACATATAGACATAGACATAGCGATAGTAGAGATGATAATATTGTAAAGCACTTGGTGAAACTTAAAGTTGTATGAGTGCTGGCTATTATTAATATTATAATTATCATTATTGGTCATGGTCAGACCTGCACTTAAGGAAGATCACTTAGATAGTTGTTGAGAGGATGGACTGGACAGATGAAACACTTTGGGCAGAGGTATCAATTGGGAGCCTTTTCTTATAGTTCAGGAGAATATACACTTTGATAAGAGTGAATGAATAAACCTTCTCCTTGGGGGAAGGATCTTAACTCTATATTTAGAAGCTTTGGCATGAGTTTATCTTCCTTTATGAAGGACAGAATATCCTCAAGTAACTTTGTTCCTAGGGGAAGGACACAGGCTTGTCTTCACCTGCACTTTCCCCCACCATTACAATGAACATAGTGATCTTAATGCTTCCTTGGTCTTTTATTGAAAAGAGCTAGTCTCTGTTCTTCTGTTCAATATGCCTGATCATAAATGGTAAAATAAAGTATGGGAATTCCTCTTGGTTATAGTCATGTCTATTTGTCATTTCTTTCCTAAATGTAGATAAAGAGATTTCCTGCTCAATTTTTTGCTAATAAATTCTTTGTATACTGTACTCACCAATTAAGAGAAAAAGTATTGTTAACTAGAGGGAAAAAACAATCCTTTTCCCAAACCCTGAGTCACATCTGTTCCCATGGAGTGTACAGTCTGTCTAGTGAGATAAGAAGTTTTAGGGTTGGATCTGGAAGTTGACAATCTATACACAAATCTGGGATGCTTTCCCTGGTGTCCTAATTGCTCTGTCACTCTGTAAGCTAGCTTGCAAGCTAGTTTTCTTCCCTTACTGATGATATCTCATTTTTCTTATAAAAAATAAAGGAGTCCTTTCCTTTCCTTATACTAAAGAAGAAAGACTCTGGAAATGTATCAAGAAGGCACCCATCTCTCCAGCAAGTCACTTTACTTTCTGCATGTCTGGTATTTCTATTATCGGAATGTCTGCACTTTATGGCTATTTTGTATTGTTCGAAAGACTAACTTGGAAAATCATCCCAAAAGTAAAGCTTAGCTAGAGATGATGAAGAAAAAAAGAAGGAGGAAAAGGAGGAGGAAAAGAAGGAGAAGGAGGAAAAGAGTAGTAGAAGAAAGGGAAAAGGAGGATGACAAGAATAAGGAGGAGGAGGAGGAGATGATGATGATGACAAAGATAATATGTTTTCCCTCCATGCAGCAGTACATTCTCTAATTGGTGAGTGTTGTGTTCAAAATATTTACTGGCCCAATATTTAGTAGGATATATATAAATATATTTACATATTACATATGTGTCTATAAAGTCATTTAAAAATGAAATGGTAAGTAAAGTGTAGCTGTAAGAAGAAGGAGAAAGAGATAATCAGCTGAAGAACAAGGAGAATACAGATGCTATAAGGAAATCTCAATAATTGGGGTTCAAATTTCCATAGACTAGACTGGGTGATCATCAGTTCAGAAATTCACTGCTGGATCTGCAACTTCCTAAACTAATCAGATTCTAATTTTGAAGGCAAAGAGAAAGTCATACAGTTTAGCTTAACAATATCGATAAACTCAAATTGTAAAAATCCCAATAGGAACCTCAACAGTGGCTAATACTTTGAAATCCACACAAGGAGACAACGACACATTAGAACAGAACCACTTCTCATGTTTTACTTTTCTTCCAGAAGGAAAAGCATGAGTCTTGAGCCTTTCAAACTATTTTATGTAACTTTAAGTCCACTAGCCTCTTATGTGCTTCCCAACTTCTGCATCCCCTTGGGACTCTCTAGAACAGTCACTGTGAAATATTGAGGGGACAGCATCAAAGCTACTTAAGCCATGGGCTTGCTCTGGCATTTTAAAAGACAGAAAATTGCCTCATTTCCTCAACATATAAGGAGAGCTATGGCAACAGCTGAAAGAGGCGATGAACTTTAGGAGTAAAAAACAAGAACAGAACTTCTAGCCAGTATTGTGTGTGTGTGTGTGTGTGTGTGTGTGTGTGTGTGTGTGAGAGAGAGAGAGAGAGAGAGAGAGAGAGAGAGAGAGAGAGAGACAAACAGACAGACAGACAGACAAACAGACAGACAGACAGACACAGAGACAGACAGACAGACAGACAGACAGAGACAGACAGAGAGACAGAGAGAGACAGAGAGAGAGAGACAAAGAGGGAGAGAGAAAGGAAGGGAGATACATACAGAGACACAGAGACAGACAGACAGACATAGAGACAGAGACAGACAGAGAGACACACAGAGAGTGACAGACAGAGACACAGAGAGATATAGAGACAAACAGAGACAGACAGACACAGAGAGAGACAGAGGAAGAGAGACAGAGACAGAGAAACAGAGACAGAGAGACAAAGAGGGAGAGAGAAAGGAAGAGAGATACATACAGAGACACAGAGACAGACAGACAGACATATACACAGAGACAGACAGACAGACCCCTTTTGCAGCAGTCTGGTGAAGTCTATAGAACCTTTCTCAAAATATTTTTTCAGTGCCTAAAATAAAATACATAATATCACAAAGGAGACCAAATATAATTAAATGTATTGATCATTTTTTTTAAATCATAGATCACATTCCAGGTTTAAAAGAGTCTCTGATTAGTTGGTCTCCTTAACAGACATCAACTATGTCCCCTTTCTCTCCAAATATTGGTATGTCTTTAGATTGTGACTTAGAATATATGTTCTGTCAGATGTCAGTCTCATCTCCGCTAGTGGCTTCAATGACCATTTCTGTGATTTCCGACCTTTATACATCTAGCCCCAACTTCTCCCCAGATTTCTGCCCTCCTATTGGCTTGCTATCTCTCCTTTGTTCTATCTCACATACTCCAAACTGATGATGGCAGGGTGTTTTTTTGATGTGTGTGTGTGTTTATTTTGGTTTGGTTTGGCTTGACTTTCTTTGAACCCTTAGCATTGATTTAGTCTCCTGATATGAAGCAGGTGATCAGAAATGCTTGTAGACTTGACTTAACTTTAGTGGTCCAAAAGAACTTTAAATTCAACATACCCCAAATTGGATCGAATAGAAAAATTAGGAGGCTGCTTCTATTTAGGTAGATATGCTTATTTAGAAAACGTATGGTCACTGTGCCCTCAGGCATCTCTGTAGCTTCCCAGGCTGAGGAACCACATGTACTCACCATATGCAATCTGTTCTCCATCATTATATAAAGTCACATTTTCATAGCCCTATGTAGGTTTGAGAGGCATTTTCCAGATATTACCTAATTTTATCCTCACAAGAAACTTATAAAATAGGTATGCTACTGTCTTCATTGTATAAGGCAGGGGACTGAGATCCCAAGAATTGAAGTGACTTGCCAAAATCCCACAGCTAGTTAAGTATCTAAGCCAGTATTTATGCCTAGAACATCATAGGTTTATCCATAGTGCCTCTGCTGACTCTCCTAATCATCTTATTATCATTGTCCCATTGGGCTTTAAGTATCTGTATCCTAACTTTGGAATACCTCCCTCTTTATTTAACTATAATGTGGAAACTCTGGTTTGGTCATTCAGTTCCAGGGGAAAGGACTTGAGAACTGAATGAGCTAAAAGCAATGGGATTTGATTGTTGAGTCATCCATGTACTTGACAGCTTCTGTTAATGGCTGTTGACGAAATGGAGAGTATAATGGTTAGGGGATCAGAGAAGTGGGGGATGAACTCTCTGTTCTTTGGCTTCTTACTGATTCTGTGGCTGGCACTGTTTCTCAGGGACAAAATTTTCTCTTTTCTTAAGTGAAGGTGTTGGATTAGATATACAATCAGGTCCCTTGCAGCTCTGGCTATCAAGACCGGATGATCCTTTTCTTGAATTGCAAATACTTGAAATAAGGAAAGAATGTAACTAATGCCAAAGGTAATTTGATTTGGCTTCACAATGGAAGGCAATTTTAATGAAAATTTTTAAAAAATCCAGGTTGCCAGAAAATGGAAGTTTTTCTTTCTGCAGAAATTTATACACAAGTGAGATAGCCAAGAACCAGATTTCAGTGATTAAGCAAAATTAGAATTGTGTGATAGAAGATCTTAATGGAAGTTTTAAAACAATAAGATTTATCAAAGCTAGCCATGCTTCACTTCTTTCTTGAAAAGTGCAAAGGAAAATGAATACATCTCTAGGGAATATGTCAGGTTTTCCCTGAAAGTCATCACTTTCTTCAGTAAAAATGCAAAGATTCTTGTCTGAGAATAAATAGGGAACTAGCTGGGAACATCATGTCATCTAGTGGAGAAAAGCAGACAACCCAATTTAAAAGATTCAACGTTCATCTGTAGAACAAGATTAACAGAAACTTCCAATTCTGTGTTACCTCTCAACTTCCTCTTTTATTTTGTGATGAGTTAGATCATTTGAGAATCTTCCAAAGGCCCTGAAATAGGACTGTCCCATCTTTTCTTTTGACAGGGGACAAGAAAGGAGGCACCAATTCCAGCTGTAAGTGAGAAATTCTTAAGTTTAGAGCTGGGAGTAGCTCTAGCCCAACTCCTTCATTTCACAGGTGGAGAAACCAAGGGGTGAAATACTTTGTCTACAATCAGAGAAGTAGCAAATAGCAAAATCAGAATTCAGACCCAAGGTTTCTGCTAGGTTTCCACAGTCAACTTGGTGACTACGGGGTGACTACCATCTCTAGAATGAAGAGTAATTATTTTTAACTAGGAGTTAACAACAATAACTATGACACCAAGAGAAAAAGTTGGAGGGTTCCCTTACCTTCAATGGGTTTAGGGACAAAGTGTGATGAGGGTTTGGTTTTTTTCACTCTGTTTCCTTTCATAATTTGACCTTCTTTATTGAGTCCCAGAAACCAAGCTCGCCCTGATTCCTGCTGTCGGTAAAGTGTAGAAGAATAAATGACGTAGTAATTTTCAAAGACAGATTCCTTAAATTTGCACTCCGGTGTGAAAACATCCTGTAGAAAAAATAAAATGGAGACAAAAAAGGAGGAAAGGAAGAAATTAATCAGCAGTTACTTCAATTTGATAGAGCTGAAAGACTCACCCTGGAAAGGACAAATTGAATTTGAATAAGCAAAGTTTCAAAGACAGTGAGCCATATTAGACTCACCAAGAATAGAAATCACTCCTAGACTGGAAGTTCTCCTCAGGTGGGAATTTTATTCAAACCACATGTCCAGGTAATCTCCATGACTGACAAATAAAGTAGGCTGAGCCATATTTACACTGCAATTCTCAAACTAGTGGTTTATTTACTTAAGTGGTGAGCATCCTTGCCACAGGCTCCAAGGCACACTATAAATGGCATCACCAATTTGGTTTGCCGTGGACACAAGAAAGTAAAAACAAACACAATGCTTCTCCATGTGCTGAAATATCCGTGGAAACACAAAAACTGCTTGGCCAATGAAGAGCGTTCAGAACATCTTGGATTCTGCCTTTATTTGAATGTAAGCAATTTCCTGTATTATTTTTGTCCAGTTTCTTGTTTAATGCAAATTTCTGTAAGGGAATCAGAGAAACTTAAAAGCTAGAAGATTCCTCAGTGGCTGTCTAGTCTAACCAATAACTGAAAAAGAGTCTCCTATATGATTATAATTCAAATAGTCATCTAGCTTTTGTTTGAAACCCACCAAGGATGGAGAACTCCCTACCTACCATAGCATTCCACTGCACTTTAGGGCAGCTTTAAGTCTTAGGAAATTAGTCTTTACATCAAACCTCAATCTTTCTCTTGAAAACTTCTACCCACTGGGACTAGTTTGGTCTTTTTGAGCCAAGAAGACTGACTTTCATTTCACTTCAATGTGACAGATCTCAAAGCATCTGAACATTAGCAATCATGTCTTCCCAATGCCTTCTCTTTTTTGAGATTAAACATCTCTCTTATCCATATCCATTCCCATTATGGAATGATATCAAGCCCCTTTTCTTCCTGTTTGCCCTCCTTGGGATATTGTCTACCTTTTCAATCTCCTAGCTAAAATTGGTGCCCAGAATCGAACGCAAAATTTCAAATATGTCCTGACCAGGGCAAAGTCCAATGTGAGTATTACTTGCCCAGTCTTCGATACCTATTGCTCTTTCTTAATGAGGCCTCAAATAGCATTGGCTCTTGTAGCTGTCATATTACAAAAAAATCTTCCTTGAAGGTTTTACGTGAATTGGAGAAATTTGAAAACCTAATATTAATCAGCTCTTTAACCACACCACAGAGAATAGGGGTATGTCATGGTGGCAGTGACCTTTGACTGACCCAGTGACTCAATAAAATATTTCTCACCATTATGATGAAAACAAACAACCACAAACTGACCAAGTACATCACAGACATTTTATGAAGTCATATGAAGTTAGCGTGCACCAGATTTCAGAGGGATGAGATAAACCAAACCCACCTTAATTCTAAGTGATAATGAATTGTGAGCATCAACACCTGGAACAGGTATTTTGTGTTCAGTGCAGTCCTGTGCTGTTTGCGGTTCCTCTGGGGCACTGACTCTTATCTTTAAGACTCCATGTGCCAAAGAGAAAACCATGTTTCATGACTAGTGAGCCACTGTCCATTCTTAGAGTCACAAATGACCAAAAATCCTTCCTTACAACTAGTTCTTTCACTGATAATTGCTTTGTTTCCTCCGCTTAGAAAAGTTTGGGCTTCCAAGGAGGTATGACAGTGAATCCTAGGAGGTATGTCACCAGCAAGTTTCCTTGAAATAAGAAAAAAAAAAAGAACCTAGGCTGAGGTCCTTTCCACTTTTTAAAGTCATTAGCCATTACCAAAGTGAGATGTGAGAAAGGAATACGAATGGAGATGAGACCAGAGATTTGGTTTTTGCACAGTTTTTGATCTCAGGCAAACATACTGGAGAACCAGAAAAGAAGCTGATTACATAAAGTTCAGGAAAACTACTCTTACTTCATTTTTTGGTGGATTCAAATGCATTAAATGGCCTTTGTCTTCTCTGTTGAAAGGTCAGTTCTTCAATAAACTTCTCTCACTGCTAACTGCAACCAAGATCAATTTTCTTTATTACTAAGAATTTAAACCAAACAAAATCTCGGGTTGATGTAAACTTGCATACTATTTTAAACTCCTGCTTTTGTTATAATTTAATATTTTTGGAAACCTGACAATTTCAAGTAAAAATATTTCATTTAAAAAATCAAACACCTGGTGGCATTTCCTGTTTGTTCACAGTGACGATGGTCCATTCTGATGCTTTTGGCTTCTTACTTTGATTCAGTTTGTATCTGAGCTGTATAGAGGGAGGCAGTCTTTGAGACAAAAAAGGCATAATGGGATGGTAGGCCTAGTTTTCCCTAGTGTATACCAGAAATACAGGGTGAATCACTCACATAAAATAAGTATGTGTTTGGTTGTGCTTTGAAGCCAGTCCTGGCATCTCTGGAAATCTCCATTCATTTATAGTTCATTGTTGTCATTATCATCATCATTTGATCATCATTGGGAGGCAATATAGTAGCATATAGTAAACTGTTCTCAGAATCAGAAAGACCTGGTTCAAGTCTCATCTCTGACACACAATGGCTGTGTGACTCTGGACAGATGACTTATATTAACTGGATCTATAGTAAATGCATATTAGCTAATATCAACTGAGCCCTCTTTGCAATAAGACAATCATTAGGAACTTCCAAAACCAATTCACATTGGAAACTAAGGACAAACTCAACATAATGTTGGAAGATTGTTTTAGGATCATACAGGCAGCTGAACAGGAAGTTATACCTCACAGGGACCACACAAAGAGAAAATAATAACTTTCAGCAACCAGGAGTCATGAGTTACCCTTTGCCACACATGCTCTCTAAGATTGAGCTCAGTCTCCATAGGTATTAAAAGGGTTACAGAGGAGAATGTATCACTCTCAATGGGGGATGTAACTGTACACTACCTAAATAAATATTCATTTCTAGATTACAGTTAACTCTGAATGGCTAATTGATATCAACTGATAATCAACAGGGCACGTGAGAATAGGCAGCATGAGTTATAATATGAAGAAACTCCCAACCCCTCGTAGTTACCCACAAGAATCCTGGAAAGAAGTAATTGGCAAACTTCTGGGGTCTCAGTACCCTCATACAGATTGGGGAAGTAGTCCCTGAGCCTTCAATGCATTTTTTTTTGTATGACTACCTCTTATTTTATTTATTTTTTAAAATTATTTATTTTTTTAATTTTTAACAATCACTTCCATAAGCTTTTGAATTTTAAATTCTCTCCACCTCCCTCCCCAAGATGGTTTGCAGTCTGATATAGGTTCTAGTATATACTCTTATTAAATTGTTTTTACATTAACATGTAAAATTATTATTAATATGTTTTTACATTAGTCATATTGTAAGCAAGAATTAGAACCAATAGGAAGAACCACAAGAAAGTAGAAACAAAACAAAATAGAAAAAAAAGAGCAGATGTATGCTTCAATCTGAGTTCAATCTGTGTTCATAGTTCTTTCTCTGGATGTGGATAGCATTTTCAATCATGAGACTTTTAGGTATGTCTTAGATTCTTGCATTGCTGAGAAGAGGAAGTCTATCAAAGTTAATCAAAACACAATGTGGCTGTTACTGTGTACACGTTCTCCTGGTTCTACTCCCTTCACTCTGCATCAATTCATTTAATTCTTTCCAGGTTTTTTCTGAAGTCTGCCTGCTCATTATTTCGTATAGCACAGTAGTATTCCATTATATTCATATACCACAACTTGTTCAGCCATACCCCAATTGATGGACATCTCCTCTATTTCCAATTCTTGGACACCACAGAAACAGCTGCTAAAAATATTTTTATACATGTGGGTCTTTTTCCCATATATATGATCTCTTTGAGAAACACACCTAGAAGTGATATTGCTGGGTCAAAGGGTATGCACAGTTTTATAGCTCTTTGGGCACAGTTTCAAATTGCTCTCCAAAATGGTTGCATCACAACTCCAGCAGCAATGAATTAATGTTCCAATTTTCCCAAACTTCTCCAACATTTATCATTTTCCTGTTTTGTTATGTTAGCCAATCTGGTAGGTGTGATATGATACTTTAGAGCTGTTTTGATTTTCATTTCTCTAATCAATAGTGATTTAGAGCATTGTTTCATATGACTATGGATAGCTTTAATTTCTTCATCTGAAAACTGCGCATTCATATCCTTTGATAATTTGTCAATTGGGGAATGACTTGCATTCTTATAAATTTGACTTAGTTCACTAAATATTTTAGAAATGAGGCCCTTATCAGAGACACTGATTATAAAACTTCTTTCCCAGTTTTCTGTTTCCCTTCTAATCTTAGTTGCATTAGCTTTGTTTGTGCAAAAAAATTTCAATTTAATGTAATCAAAATTATGCATTTTGCATTTCATAATGTTCTCTATCTCTTCCTTGCTCAAAAATCTTCTACTCTCCATACATCAAACAGGTAAACTGTTTCTTGCTCTCCCAGTTTGCTTATAGTATCAGCCTTTATATCTAAATCATGTACCCATTTTGATTTTATTTTGGTATACAGTGTAAGATGTTGGTCTAGGCCTAGTTTCTGCCATACTATTTTCTAATTTTACCAGCAGTTTTTGTCATATAGTGGTTTTTTATCCCAGAAGCTAGAGTCTTTGGGTTTATCAAAGAGTAGATTCCTATAGTTACTGACTATTGTGTCTTCTGTGCCTAACCTATTGCACTGATTCAGCACTCTATTTCTTATCCTGTAGTAAGTAATTTTGATGGTTTCTACTTTATAATATGATTTAAGATCTAGTACAGCTAGGCTCCCTTCCTTCCATTTCTTTTCATTAATTTTCTTGGTATTCTGAACCTTTTGTTCTTCAAGATGAATTTTGTCATTATTTGTTTCTACCTCTATAACAGGTTGTGGTTTCTTTTGGTAGTTTGGTATGACACTGAATAAGTAAATTAAATTAGATAGAATTGTC